GGGGGGAGAGGAAGATGGCAGGGAGGGAGAGGAAGATGGTAGGAGGGAGAAGAAGATGGCACGAGGGGAGAGGAAGATGTAGGAGGGAGAGAAAGATGTCAGCAGGGGAGAGGAAGATGGTAGGAGGGAGAGGAAGATGGCAGCAGGGGAAAGGAAGATGGTAGAGGAGAGGAAGATGGCAGGAGGGAGAGAAGATGAGGAGGGAGAAGAAGATGGCAGGAGGGAGAGGAAGATGGGAGGGAGAGGAAGATGTAGGAGGGAGAGGAAGATGGTAGGGAGGGAGGAAGATGGTAGGAGGGGAGAGGAAGATGGTAGGGAGGGCAAGAAGATGGTAGGAAGGAGAGGAAGATAAAGGAGGGAGAAGAATATGATAGGAGGGAGAGGAGATGGTGCAGGGAGAGGAAGATGGTTGGAGGGGAGAGGAAGATGGTGAGGGAGAGAAAGATGGTAGGAGGGAGAGAAGATGGTAGGAGGGGAGAGAAGATGGTAGGAGGGAGAGAAGATAAAAGAGGGGAGAAGAATATGATAGGGAGGGGAGAGGAAGATGGCAGCAGGGAGAGGAAGATAAAAGGAGGGAGAAGAATATAATAGGAGGGAGAGGAAGATGGCAGCAGGGAGAGGAAGATGGTAGGAGGGAGAGGAAGATGGCAGGAGGGGAGAGGAAGATGGCAGGAGGGAGAGGAAGATGGCAGGAGGGAGAGGAAGATGGTTGGAGGGAGAGGAAGATGGTAGGAGGAGAGAAAGATGGTAGGGAGGGAGAGGAAGATAAAAGAGGGGAGAAGAATATGATAGGAGGGAGAGAAGATGGCAGCAGGGAGAGGGAAGATGGTAGGAGGAGAAAGGATAAAAGGAGGGAGAAGAATAATAGATAGGAGGAGAGGAAGATGGTAGGAGGGAGAGGAAGATAAAGAGGGAGAAGAATATGATAGAGGAGAGGAAGATGGCAGCAGGAGAGGAAGATGGTTGGAGGAGGAAGATATTGAGGAAGAGGAAGATGGTAGGAGGGAGAGAAAGATGGTAGGAGAGAAGATGGTGGGAGGGAGAGGAAGATAAAGGAGGGGAAAGAATATGATAGGAGGAGAAGAATATGATAGGAGGGAGAGGAAGATAAAAGGAGGGAGAGGAAGATAAAAGGAGGGAGAAGAATAAGGATAGGAGGGAGAGGAAGATGGCAGCAGGGGAGAGGAAGATGGTTGGAGGGGAGAGGAAGATGGTAGAGGGGAGAGGAAGATGGAGGGAGGGAGAGGAAGATAGAGGGAGAGGAAGATGGCAGCAAGGGGAGAGGAAGATGGCAGGAGGGAGAAGAAGATGGTAGGAGGGAGAGGAAGATGGCAGCAGGGAGAGGAAGATGGCAGGAGGGAGAGGAAGATGGCAGGAGGGAGAGGATGATGGCAGCAGAGGGAGGAAGACAGGCAGGGGAGAGGAAGATGGTGGAGGGGAGGAAGATGGCAGCAGGGAGAGGACGATGGTAGGAGGGAGAGGAAGATGGCAGCAGGAGAGGAAGATGGTAGGAGGGGAGAGGAAGATGGCAGCAGGGGAGAGGAAGATGGTAGGAGGGGGGAGGAAGATGGCAGCAGGGAGAGGGGATGATGGTAGGAGGGAGAGGAAGATGGCAGCAGGGAGAGGAAGATGGCAGCAGGGAGAGAGGAAGATGGTAGGAGGGAGAGGAAGATGGCAACAGGGGAGAGAAGATGGCAGAAGGGAGAGGAAGATGGCAGGGAGAGGGGAAGATGGTAGGGGGGAGAGGAAGATGGCAGGAGGGAGAGGAAGATGGCAGCAGGAAGAGGAAGATGGCAGCAGGGAAGAGGATGATGGCAGCAGAGGGAGGAAGATGGCAGCAGGGAGAGGAAGATGGAGAGGAGGAGAGGAAGATGGCAGAGGATGATGGCAGAGGAGAGAGGAAGATGGTAGGAGGGAGAGGAAGATGGCAGGAGGGAGGATGATGGCAGAGGAGAGAGGAAGATGGTAGGAGGGAGAGGAAGAAGACAAAAAATGAGATAGATAGATAGATTGTGTGAAGGAAGTACTAGAAGTGGAAGGCACTGACATCGAGGAAGTAGTACTGTACAGTATTATGCATGTGACTATTAGAGCATGACAATCGGTGGTTTATAAGGATGTCATAGCAGTTAGAGGGAATGAAGGTATACTGTAATTTACCAGTATACTGTACAGGAACTGTACTATAGTGTAAAGTATATAAGAACAACAGTAACCAAAGCATATAAACAGCATTAATAAAAACATCAAATGAGTATAAATCAGTGGGTGGTCCTCGGTTAACGAGCGACCGGTTAACGAGATTTCGGTTAACGAGTTACCTCCCATAAGATTCTTAAATTCGGTTAACAACCAACCCTCGTTAACGAAGTTTACGATCCCACTCAACAAGTTTTGGCTTTGCACTGCTGTCAATCTAGCTGTAGTATTAGTCCGCCAATACATTAATCGGTTCTAGGGCTTAAAATTTCAATATTTTAGTAAATATCAAGGAGTTTATACTATTCAATAATTTTAAAAAGTTTACTAAATTTTTATCATTTATCAATTATTGAACATACCGTAATTGAAGGCAAAGTGACTAGCTTAATGCACGCATCCAGCCTCTTAACACAGCAAACAGGCGTTAGTCTCTGTTTTCACTGAGGTAACATCTGCTGGAGACTCTCTTCAAGTAAATGCTTTTTTTTCGTTTCCAAAGCAAATTATTGGTCATTTTGAAATTTATTTACACATGACAATATATAAAGTTGTGCAGTGTTATTTTAAAGAAATATTCTTTATTTACAAATAAGTTTAACTTTAAAAGCACGTATGACATTGTTTGAATCCAGCATAGCCTAAGAGATCAAGAAAAGCTATCAACCAAAACCACAGGAAACAAAAACATGAACAAGGTAATAGAACAATGGCGCTATGCAAAGAATATGGCATGTCAACATCAACTGTAAGCCGACAATTTGCAGCAGAGAAAGACAAATTTTAAGAAGTGAAAGTGAGAGATAAATCTACCAGTGTGTTTAAAAGTAGATTCTAATTGCAGAAACTGAGAGGTTACGCATCATCTGGATTAGGGAAAACAGATGAAAGGTGATTCAGTTTCTACTGAATCTATTTGTGAAAGAGCCAAGGAGATTTACTTAAATATTTAAAAGACAGATCAACCTGGTTCTTCAGGCACAGAATTTGAAGAGTTTTCGCCAGCAAAGGCTGGTTCTAAAAATTTAAGAAAAGAAGTGACATTTTCAGTGCTAGCAGGGGCATGGGTGAAGCTAGTGCTGATATGAAGGGCAGCAAATTTTTAGATGAATTTAAAGAACTGATCGAAGGAAGAAAATTATCTTCCACAGCAAGTGTTCAATGTGGACGAAACTGGGCTGTTCTGGGAAAGATGACCAAAAGAACATTCATCAGAGATGAAGCCTCTTTACCTGGGCATAAACCCATGAAAGACCTGCCTTACTCTATTGCTTGGTGGCAATACTTCAGGATTGACTGAAGCCTATGCTTGTCTACCACTCTGAAAACCCCAGGGTGTTCGGTTGCATAACAGAAAGTGGTAAGAACAAAGCTTGGAGTTGAAGTCCAACCAGAAGGCATGGGTGACAAGAGCTTTTTAATGAATGGGCGGCTGTTGATGTGTTTTGCCCTTCTGTCAAGAGCTACCTAACCACCAATAAACTCCCTTTAAAGGCTCTTCTCCTCATGGATAATGCTCCTGGTCATGACCCTGAACTTGCCAGAACTTTGGAATATCAATTTGACTTTGTGAAAGTGTTGTTTTTGCCTCCAAACACTACATCAATCATACAGCCAATGGACCAGAATGTGATCAGCAACTTCAAGAAGTTGTACATGAAGAAAATGTTTAGGAGGTGTCATCAGGCAACTTCCAATGATCCTGAACTTACACTGAAACATTTCTGGAAGACACAATTCAACATCCTGGAGGCTGTAAAATTGATTGTGTCATCATGGCAAGAAGTCTCCACTAGATCCCTCAATTCTTCATGGAAAGCACTGTGGCCATCAGTAGTCCATGATTTTGAGGGATTTGAGGAAGAAACAGAGTTGGACCAGGAAATTGTGTCCATTGGTCAGTCATTGGGCCTTGAAGTGGAGGAGGAGGATGTGGAAGAGCTTGTGATGTCTCATGAGGAGGAACTTACTCCTGATGACTTGAAGCAACTGGATGAGATGTTACAGGTAGAGGCTGACAGTGGTGAGGAGGATATTGAAAGTGATGACCATATGTCAGCTAAACAGTTGAAAGATGTGATTTACCACTGGGAGAAGTTCAGGGAACTGGCTTCAAAGCACCCAGAAGTGGAAAAAACTGAACTAACTTTGTGTCATGTTGAGGACTCAATGGTCTCCTTCTTTAAACATAAGTTAATGGTGAGGAGGACAGATGCCCCAGAGACCACAATTGACACTTTCTTCAGTAAAAGGCAGAGGGAACAAGATGCTATCCCTCAGCCTTCCACTTCAAGAAGGAGAGAGGATGATCATGGTGGAGAATCTGTCAGTCCAGAGGTTCCTGACATTTTCATTGAAAGTGATTCACCTTCCAAGAAGCAGTAAAATGCTTCTCGTCCACCTCCACTTCCTTCTCTTCTCCCTTCTCCTCCTCCACCTCCCACTTCGAATTCACATCATCTTCATCATCCAGGAGCCTTCTACATACACACCTCAAAGTAAGTGAACTTTTCTACCTTTTTTGTTGAATTTAGGCAATTTTCGGTGAGCTGGAACCAATTACCCAAAAACCCATTGAAACAATGGTTTCGGTTAACGAGATTTTCGGTTAATTAGCAACCTGCTGGAACGGATTGTGCTCGTTAACCAAGGGACCACTGTATACTGAAATTTCCCACATCACGCCGAAAACTAAGTTTCTGACTTATTAGTAACTCAAGAGGTTATCATTGAAATTTACTTAATTATACTTAACTATATTTACACTTGTCGCATTACTTTTCGCAACAACCAACACTCACTCGAGAATGACAGAAACAGCAACAGGTGAGTTTGTTTCCTTATTGATGAAGTGCATGAGAACAGTCGTCTGGCCATCAATCTTTTCCCCAGAGTCAGTCTGACTCTGTGCAATGCTGTCAATAATACATGGGTACCCATATACATCTTTAAATACACCTTCAATCTGTGGAAGTACCAGAAAATTACTTCATATAAAAAATATATCACATATTTGTAACTGTTTATAAACTATATTTAACATAAAGCAATAAATTGCATCTCAAAATAACCATTTTGTATTTTATCCACATTATTAATACCTACAGTACCTTGTGTCATCACCTATCCCAGTTAATATATTCAAGGCTGTGGATATTTGTCCGGTTGTCGGTTAAGTAAGGTTTTTCAGGAGTTGATAGAATTGGATAAAACTCTGTGGAAACATTATTTTAATATAGATTCTTGTTTCCATTTATCTATTTATTATATTGCAATTAACATTTCCACGAAGTTTCATCCAATTCTATCAACTCCTGGTGTTATACTAAAAAGATCTACCTAACTGACAATTAGAAAAATATTCAAAGAGATAACCAGACCACCATCATGACAACACTTAGAGGAAAGGAAGGACAACATACTGTAATTAGTTATATTACGTTAAACCTTGAAGAACTCAACATAACTCAACACTGGCTGAAGCCTCTATAGAACTTCACTAAGGATTCATAACTTCCTGCAGAACTCAGCTAAGTACTATCTAAAAATTTGGGCAACATTGTACAGTACTTAGTTAAATTGTACTTAAGCTGGAGTAAGAAAGAGTACAGTACTTCAAAATAAATGTAATTTCTAGAAAGAGGATCCCTGACAAAGCTACATAACTAAAGGTACTGCAATGCAGTTACTTCACTACTCCACACCTTTGCATGTAACTACAGTATTCAACCTAATCATTTACAACCAATGGAGTAATCAGCCTTAAAATGTACAGTACTGTACTTACATGTCTTTGCCTGGCTTTCACTTCAATGGGGTCATTCTTAAAGTAGACTGGCAGCTGGAAGATGTTTGTAATTGCATAAACTTTAGCCAATGTTGTGCCAGTGTGATTAACTGCAATATACAAACATAATTCATGCAAAAAACAAAGAAAAAGTATATTAAGAACATTTTTTATCAAATGATAAGGGCTCTAAACATATTTTATTACAGGTTGACAACCCCTTATCCGAAATTCCGAAAACCGAAAACCTCTGAAAACCGAAAGTTTTTATTTATTTATTTATTTATTTATTTATTTTTTATTTATTTATTTATTTTTTAAACAGGGATCAGCCCACCCGGGCACAAGTCATTGTGACCCACATCAGGGCTTGGGGGGCAAAAATGTAATAATAATTACAGTATAATAATAATAATAATTATTCTTAGTAAATAAAATTTATAATTAAAAATACACAAAAATAAAATAATAATAATAATAATAATAATAATAATAATAAAATAATAATAATAAAAATAATAGCCTAATAATAATAATAATAATAATAATAATAATAATAATAATAATAATGATAATAATAATAACAATAATACCGAGTGGCCTCGGTTAACGAACTCAATCAAGAAAGGTGGTTAGATTAACCCATCATTCTTGGCTCCATTGTTTCAATGGTTTTTTGATGGTGGTTTAACTCTGAAAATTTCTAAATTCAACAAAGCTGATGAAAGTTCCTTGCTTTGAGGTGTGTATGTAGAAGGCTCCTGGATGATGATGATGATGATGATGGGAATTACAATGGGGGTGGAGGAGAAGGAAGAAGAGAAGGCATTGGGGTGGAAGAGAAGTCACCCCATGGCACCATTTGACCCATAAAATTTTAGTTCTCTTGGTGTATTTCAAGATTATTTTCTTTAAATCAACACTGTACTGCATTATATATTGTCAATATGTAAAATATATTTAAAAATGACCAATAATTTGCTTGGAAACACAGAAAAAAGCGTTTAGTTGAAGAGAGTCTCAAGCAAGATGTTACCTCCAGTGAAAACAGAGAGAGACTAACGCCTGTTTGCTGTGTTAAGAGGCTGGATGCTGCGCATTAAACTAATCACTTTACCTTCAATTATGTTCAATAATTGTTAAAATGACTAAAAAATTTAATATTAAACTTTTAAAATTATTGAATAGTATAAACTTCTTGATATATACTAAAATAGTAAGGAATTTAAGCCCTAGAACCGATTAATGTATTGGCGGGACTGGTGATACTACTTCTGGTTGCTGATTCGGTACCAGCGAAACATGTTGATTAAGTTAGCAAGAAGTTAGTTAAGCGAATTTTTTAGATTAACTGATTTAGAATCCTTATGGAAGGCAGTTAAGTTAATCGAAATTAAGATTAACAGAATTAGATTAAGCAGTCACTGTGCTGTAATAATAATAATATGTATAATAATAATAATATAATAATAATAATAAAAGAAATATAAGAATTAAAAAGGTCAAAAGTGAGCACCTACTGTAGAACTATGAATTATTATTGTATTGTATGTAATATAATATGTGTGTGTGTGTATATATTATTATTATTATATTTTCCTTTGGAGGCTAATGTGTGGGATATGCTGATCCCTGAAAGAAAAACCATTTTGAAATCCGAAAAATTCCGAAATCCGAAATGCTTCTGGCCCCAAGGATTTCGGATAAGGGATTGTCAACCTGTATAGGGAATAACAGGAATATACTTTTGTGAAGGAAATTTTTTTCAATTAATACAATACAGTAACTAGTACATTGTTGCCAAATTTCATAAAAAGAGTGAAAAGTGTTCATAAAAAGAAAAAACTGTACAGTACCTGTATTGCCTAAATTAATATTCACTGGTAAAGTTATGGACTGCTCAGTCAGCAACCCAGTTCTCTTAGAAATATCTACAGGTAATTGTATAATACAGTACATTCCACAATCCCCAACTTCTTGTCCCTAGGGTGCTTTGAACATAAACAATATCCCCCTGAGACTTTTTTCTTCGAAAAGATGCCTAAGTTAGTGAAAGAAAATTAACTGTAACTGGAGTCTAGCCACTACAGGAATAAAGTACCTCTATATTCAATACCCCGCTTATCTGCAGTTGATATTTTAACACCCCTATTGGATATTCGCAAAGTACACTCTGCTTATTCACAAAAAAAGTGGTTAGTAGGGACCAGAAAAAAGCTACTGATAATGAAACCACTTTTAAAGGGTAATTACAGTAGTACCCCGATTTATGCGGTCAATTGAACCCACGGGGTACCGGTTAAAACAACAGAACATATGGGATTAATTCCACTAGAGACTGGCCCGTCCCCCAAACTCCACTTTTTCAGACACAATACCTACGTTGTAGTAAATATAACATCTTAATTTCATGATGGTAAGCACACACAATTAATAATTAAGAGAAATATCAATAATATTAGGTTTTTTAACACTTACATTAGTAGAAAAGATGGCTGGGCACACGGGGATGGGGGGGTTGGTTCCGAGGCAGAGGGCAGATTATTGGCCCTCACCTGTATCACCTGTATCAATTGTATCATTACCCACCACATAGGCTTGCAGGGCCTCTTTGTCAAACCCCTCAAAGTCCATATAAGTCCATATCCTAACTATCACTGACTTGGGCCGGCTGTGGTGGGTGGCGGGTGAAGAACTCGGTAATGTTTTGATGGCTGGGCGACCTTGTGCGCATCCTGCCCGCGCCGCTTCCCGCGTATATGAGTAGATGCACCGCATAAAGTGAAAGTCCAGTTCTGGCGAGGTACCGCGTAAATGTAGAATCGCGTAAAGCGAAACCGCGTAAAGCGAAACCGCGTAAAGCGGGGTATTACTGTATTTCCCATAAGAATTAATAGGAATAGGGTCTAATCACGACCATCACATTGAAAGTGACACTCATAAAGTTTAATTTGTTATAACATTTTTAATTGTATACCTTAGAAACATTTGTTACACATTATTTTATGAAATTATGTAATTTTATAACTTACTTAAGGTACTTAAATATGTTTGAAGTTGGTGTGTTGAAGAGGTGCAAGCTTACCTAACCACGTACTCACATGCTCATTTCAGTGAAAGTGAAAGCGGTTCATTGAGATATGCTCACCACTTTTCTTACGACATGTAACTTCTAATTTCACGTCCATCCCATGGCTACTACACTTCCTTTTAGCCACTAAACCACCTTGCTTTGGTTTGGAACGGATGGCAACAAAAATAGTCCACTAATATCACCAAGGACACAACAAAGTTGATAATTATAGTTCTTGGAGCACTTCAAAGTAATGCCTGTGGATACAGGAGACTGGTACTGAGCATGCATAGCGTGGGCGAGAAGGACAAACTTTAAGAGAATAAGAGACGGGTGGGAATTTCAATCCCTCAAACGCTTGTGGTCCTAATGATTGACAGATTTCAGTCTTAGAGTCCTCTTAACTTCAGGGACTTTTTACGTGCAGTTGCTCAATTATTTGACCACTTAAGTGTGAAACCGTTTATGAGGACACTTAAAATAGGGATCCCCTTATACCCTCATAATCTGCTGTAAGGCCTGCTTCACATAAGCATTTTTTTGTGAGTAAAGACCCAAGCAGTTTAGAAATTAATGAAGTTTAATGGGAACATTTCCTTGGAGCATGTGCATGAATATTCAAGTGGGAGACACTCATCCCATGCCTGTACTTGTACTTCCAAACTGTGGCATGAAAAATACGCTGAACATTCTAGAATTTCTCATATGACAATGGTAAATGCTAGTTTAAATGTTTACACTCATTTACAAATTTTGCACACAAACACAAGCATGCATGCATGGATGTGCACACATACACACACATGCATGTGCATACAGAAAAACACAAACACAACTACTACTGCTTTTCCGTCACTTGGAATCGAGTATGACGATCATCCGGCTAAGATACAATGATATGGGTTATTAAGGACATCACCTTCATTAGTCAGCTTTGAGGTGACTCAAGAGGCTGATACGGAACTGGCAGGGTCGTCCACACATGTGGCACATATGGAGGGCTAAATCTAGTCCGGGAGAGGCAGCGGCAGCATTTTTCCAGCGCTGGCGCTTGTCTGCCTCAGTATGCAGTTGGGCTAACTCGAAAGTATTGACACCTTCTCATGTGGCGCTCCTCCAAGTGTTACGTTTCCCAGGTGAGAGGGTCGTTTTGGCACTTTTTTAGGTTTGTCTTAAGACTATCCTTATACCTTTCCAGTTGGCCAACAGCATTACATTTACTATTTGTTAGATGACTGTAAAGTAGCTGCTTTGGCAGTCTACCATCATCCATGCAGTTAACATGACCAGTCCAACATAGTTGTTCATGGATAATGGTAGCCTCAGTGCTCCTACAGTTGGTGTCAGCGAGACTACTGGCATTTGTTCTTTTGTCTTCCCAGTGAACTTGGAGGATGGAACGTAGACTACGTTGGTGAAAGTTTTCAAGTGCCTTGAGGTGCCTCCTGTATGTGACCCATGTAGCCCTGCCATATAGCAAGGTGGGGAGGACCACTGCTCGATATACATGTAACTTTGTAGATAATATCAGTTCCCTGCAGCTGAAAACACGGGTACGGAGTCTGCCAAAGGCTAGAGATGCACATCTGATCTGATGCTGAATCTCTTCATCAATGTCTGCGGTGGTGGACAGGTGGGAGCCGAGATACCAAAAGTGGGTAACATTAGAGAGGGTAGTACAGTTAAGCTGGATGGATGGTGGAGGTGTGGCTGAACCAGGGGCAGGCTGAAAGAGAATGTGAGTCTTACGTACATTCACGTCAAGGCCAAAGTGTGCATATGCATCTGCATAGGTGTTCAGGATCTCCTGTACGTCGCATTCAGTGTGAGCAACAAGGGTGAGGTCGTCTGCATACTGAAGCTCAGTAATGGAAGCTGCGGACACCTTTGTTCCGGTCTGGAGTTGTCTTATGTTGAAAAGACCCTTCATCCGGTACGTGACGTTCACCCCGCCAGCTAAATTAGAGCTGGCACGAGTAAGGAAGGCAGCCAAGAAAATGGAAAAGAGAGTTGGTGTCAGTACACACCTTTGTTTAA